TACAAACAATATATATATATAATGTCCCGCACTCACTGCTCCTGGTCTTGTCTGTTGCCCAGGTGCAAACTTCGACCTCCAAATATATGAATCCTTGTTTGAAGTGCACTCACAGGACTCAGAATTATTTCAAATCGTGCTATTTATTCAAAGCATCAAATTTCCAGTAAATGGTGTCAACGTTTCAGTCCTCCAGGGACTTTTCTCAAGACGGTCTGTGAATGCACTTCAAACAAGGATATATATATATATTTATTTTTATTTTTTTTATTTACATATTTTTTTTTTTTTTTTAATCCAAGGCTCTTGCACTCCAATCCAAAAATTTAATACCTGGTGCTCTGGTCACATAATAGATAATATTGCACAAAAATACCGACACTCCAGGATTTAGTAGATAAATCTTCTTTATTCAATTAGATCCAAGTGGTCGACATTTCAGCCCCTATACGGAGCTTTCATCAGGACATATCAAGACTTACTAGTGAGAGCACTGTTAAAGTGAGATTTCGGGGGGGGAAAGCAAGTCTTATGGCTTGACTTGTGTGTGTATTTGTGTTTAGCAATGTTTTAACTATCCACTTATTTCAGGTGGAAGGGGTTTTCATCCACACTTTTTCCCTGCCACAACTCTGTGGTATGTATATATATATAAATATATATATATACATACACACATAAATAAATGTAATACATAACAGGTAATAAATATATTCAACCATGACAGATGCATTCTGTGCTGAGGTATATTGCCATAGATCTCTTAAAAGATTTTAGATTGAATGAAGATTTGACTGCGTCCCTGAGGTTATTCCATAATTGTGGCGACCTGTAGGAAAATGAGGATCAAGCCACTTTATTTTTGTATTGTGGTATGCTAAATATCATGCTAATACTGGATCGGAGGTTAATATGTTCATCTCCATATACAAATTGACCATCTTTGTGGCTGCAGGAGGACAAAAAAGCAGCAAATTATTGACCTTGGCTGTGAAGTTTAGTAGGTAATAATACTTTCCAGCCACAGCAGGACAGAGGTGCATTATTACTATTGTATGTAGCTTTAGTCTCCATTGCAACACATGGGAAAATCACCACTAGGTGTGACGGAAAGGAAGAAGAAAACATATATATGTCCGTAATACATACACACATCTAAAAGAGAGAAGAAAGCATATAAAATGCAATAAAAGCCTGAAACATCTCAAAGTGCCTATGAATTAGCAGGCTAAGCAGAGATTATACACACTAACAAAACAATTTCTTGTGTAGACCTTAAAAGATTTCCCATAAAATCACATACCCTTAAATGCCCTAAATTTCCAGAATTTAAGGATATGTAGAGTTATTGTGACGTATTTACGTACATTATAATTAATCATTAGAGCCCAATCAAAAAATATATTTATTGTAACAAACTTGGGCTTGGATACCTTGACAATGTTTTCAGAAAATATCCAATGGTAGGTTCTCATTTTAAGTTGTCCAGTTTGTCACGAGTTAAAGCAGAAGGTCTTGGTCCATCTCATCTGGTAACCTTGAACCATCTGGAAGCTTTAGCTTCACTGAGTCCGAGAGCAACCTTTGTAGCTACAGTGAATCCTTACTGGAGCAGAGTTGAATAACCATCTGCTCTTTTCTTGGAATTTGAAGGAGAGGCTTCAGTGCTTTTAAAAAGCATGAATAAAGTAGCTGACCCATTGGGGCTAACACCATCGAAACCGATTTCTATTAGGATACATGTTGTCCTTGATATAAAAAGGTTAATGTAGCTATGTTTTGAAATATTTTTTTTTTTTGAGCTGAAGAACTAAGCATTGCTCTCACAATGGAGGATCTTCAATAATGGTCTATGTATCAATGATACTGATTTCTACAAACCCTCATTGGGACAACTTTCAATCAGTGTATTCTGTTTTTCAAAAATCCTGGAATGTTTAGTATGTTTAGTGATTGTATAACAAATCTTTTCATTGGGTTAATCAATATGTACATTCTGTTGCTGTGTTATTGTGTACGTTTTTCTGGAATATATTACACCAGTTCTTCATTCAGCCTGGTTGGTAGCTGCTTGCTTTTGGGATTTGTGTATGGCATCACCTACCCATAAAGGGTCTGCCATTCCCGAGAAGAAAATAGTCAGGTGATCATGGGGCATATAAAATGTAAAGCATGTGTAGGGTGTAAGAAATAAATATGCTTTGTGGAGTAGTAAGGTATTGGGCTTGTTAAAGGCACAGGAACCACTAGAGCTTAAAGGGACACTCCAGACCCCTAAAGCACTTAAGCTTTATTATACAAAAAGTGCAAATTTCAAAAGAAATCGGCACTTTTCTAAATTAATCTAGTAACATCCCCTGGCTGGGCTGGTGGGTGGGTTTGTGGCTGGCTGCTGGTCTGGCTGGCCTGGCTGCTGGGCTGGTGGCTGGCTGCTGGGCTGGCTGGGCTGGTGGCTGGTTGTTGGTCTGGCTGGGCTTGTGGCTGCGCTGGTGACTGGCTAGGCTAGCTGGGTGGCAGGGCATGCAGGAACACAGTTGTGGCAACAAGGGAGCTGTAATCCTCCTGTTCAGCTACCTCACGTGCCGCTCAGTGATGCCGTGAGCCGATTGACGTCATATCCCGGCTCCCAGCATCACTGCAGGGTGCGAGGGAGCTGAGCAGGAAGAGCTTAGAGGGCTCCCTCATGCCCAGCCACACTGGGAGCATTGCAAAGCCTCTGGGAGCCCTCAGGTGGCCAGCCAGCCAGCTCTTGCCCACCCCCACCCCATGAAAGAGGCTAACAGGGCATCTGCCAGGAAGCTTAGGGGGTGACAAAAAAAGTGCCACCCAAGGCAAATGCCTTGTTAACCTCGTGGGAAATACACCACTGCTCCCAGAAGCATTGGATTGGTTTTGCTCATTAGTACAGAGGATCTCAGCCAGTGGATGCTGGGCAGCTGCAACAAAACCAGAGCACCAGGTAATATAAGATAAGTGGGGAGACAGAGGGACCCAATAATGCAAATAGCTTGTATAACACTCTAGCATTAGGCATACAACTTTGTATTCATAATACTAGAATGTTCCTTTAAAGGGACACTCCAGTGCCAGGAAAACAAACCGCTTTCCTGGCACTGCAGGTACCCTCTCCCTCCCACCACCCATCCCATGTTGCTGAAGGGGTGAAAACCCCTTTAGTGACTTACCTGAGACCCTCGCCGATGTCCCTCAGCTGTGGTTTTGGGTCCGCCCACGATCCTCCCCCGCGGACGTCATCCGGCCGGGGAGACCGATCGCGCATGTGCAGCCGTCGGCAGGGGAGTCCTAAAGTGCATTAGATCTTTCCATAGGAAAATGCTTTCAATGCTTTCCTATGGGGAATTGAGCGACACTGGAGGTCCTCACACAGCGTGAGGACGTCCAGCGACGCTCTAGCACATAAAACCTGTGCTAGAAACCAGGAAGTGCTAGACAGCCACTAGAGGAGGAGTTAACCCTGCAAGGTTATGAAAACTGCAATATTTACAGCTGCAGGGTTAAGGGTAGTGGGAGTTGGCACCCAGACCACTCCAATGGGCAAAAGTGGTCTGGGTGCCTGGAGTGTCCCTTTAACAACATAAATAATATTTCAGGCTGACTGAAAACAAGGATATATTTTTACTCCAATACCATATAATAGTAACATTATTATTTAACCAGGATTAAACTGTGCTTTTGCCAGTATTGAACTACATTCCAAGGTTTTTATTTTATAAGCCTCAGAGGAAAGGCTAATTTGGCCCTACCATTAATAGAACCTGCAGATTTAATGTATTACTAGAATATTAGAAAGTTGGAGCAGTTACCCACTCAGCTACCTTAAGACTAGAATTATGATAATCTTAGAACAATTACCTACTGGAATATGTTACCAACATGAAAATAGTGTGTTGAAAAACTCCCTTGTTAATAATGCCACTATGACTATCCTTCATATAATGCCTAAATACGTTTAATCTTGCATATGCAATTCACAGACTTTCTTTCCAAACTTAATTGAATTTTCATTGAATTTTCTTAGCAGATACGGTTTACTTTTTAAAGCTGAATGCTCATTGCGTCTCATAAAGTTCCAGTTCCACATACCTTTTTCTATCTGGTCACAGTTGGTGAGAATTATTTTATCATCTTCCATTAGCATGCATATAGCTGCTTTTGGTCACTGCCTTCCATCTCATTGTGCCATGGCAACATTTGATCTGTCTTTGTGGCATTTATCACAAGTCATCATTGGAAAGCAGCATATAACATTTAATTCAATTTTCTTTGGGTTGAAGCAGCACTATTTGCTTTCTTCTAATATCGGTTTAATTTAGTGTAATCTGTGACGTAACCTGTTATTTTATACAGACTTTAAGCAGGCCTTCTACCAAAACTCCTACCAATCATCATACTGGGCTGTGGTACAAGGTACCAAAGGGAGTCCCAATTCCATAGTATTTATAAATATATATATCTATATTTCTACAATGTATTTGATGATGAGTGTCACAAACGCACCCTATTTCAAGAGTGTGTGTGACGTAGTTGTGGTGGTGAAAGGGTTAAAGTTCACTATTTGTCTGCACTAGACCGGAAAAAATGACAAAATCCCCCTTAACACCACCCACACTTAAACATAATATTATAACTATTACTATTTTAACGCTGCCACCACCAAGAATTTATAAATGGGGTGCCTTGGTCCCCCAGGTAAATCAATAATAAAAACCCACCAAATATAATTTAGCACAATATTTAAGGAATTGCAAAAATACTAATTAGTCTCTTCAGGTAACGTGCTACTTAACCAGACAAAGGCGGAACTTAATAAAGGAATATTTATTATGAGCAAAAAATCACAGTGCATACAAAAATATAGATGACAATCAAACGTATTTACACCAACAACAGATAAAAACAAAAGGGAGGAAATAACAGAAGTCCTGTATTACAAGTAATACACCTATTTTTAGAGTTTGTCAATCACTCTCATTGTGTGATGATGACTAAAGTGATCCTTCCAGGCACTCCAAGGAATTGATTTTTTTTTCAAGCTCAAAAAAGACCACTTAGGTCAAAACGTTGCTGACTGTTGGGTTTCATTAAATTTTGCCTCATCAATTCCTTGGAGTGCCTGGACCTTTTTTCTTTTATACCTGGTGGAATTGGGACCTGGTGCTGGTTCCTGATTTGGTTGCACCCAGGACTGTATACTTTGGATTAAGTGCAGTTCTGGATTTAGGTTTGTAAAGTTATCCTTCCAGCACCCAAAACAGCATTTTTGCATACAATGATGGTTCCAAACAGAAACAAAACAAAAACCATAACAAGTGCCTGTTCAAACATCAGCATTAAGAGATCAAATTGCCTATAACACCTATGAGTTTTTGTCTTTTCAAATACCTAAAAATAAGTAGTTAAAAGTTGAAGATGTCGATTTAGTAAAATCATGGAGTGCTCTCTGAAGAGACATTATAAATAAAGTGTTTTGCCATCGTCTATATGCTTCAGCCTTCTTTAAAATTAACCCTGAATGGTATTCATTTCATTGTCTTATGCAGCAAAAAATATTGAGCTGATCTTGTCAGATATAAAACATTTGTTCCTACCGTTTGAATAATTGGTGCATTTACCAGCTGTGATATCCCACCTGCACATAATGCAAGCACTAGCAATAATAATTACTCAATTAACATCAATGTGGGGTAACCTTGTCCTCATCCAAAATGTATATCTATTGCTATTATTATCTTTTATTTTTATTAAAAGTATCTTTTAAAGTTTGAATAGTTTTTAGATGGTTATATTTATTCATTATTACTTCCAACAATTTTGAATTCTGCATCTGTTTTGTTAATTACAAAATTATACCTTCGTTGCTATTTAAGAGAATGGAGGAGATATTTTGTTGTTGTAAAAATATTTTCTAGTAGGTAAGGATTATTATAATATGTATTCATTTACATCAACATAAATCATAAAACACTATTTATTATACTGCTACCTTGGGAAATAAGTAATACACAACATTCATTTTTAACTCAATATCTAGTCACAATTAGCATATATTTCCAGTAACCTCTTAGAGATGCTATGCTACACTAGCTTAAGGGGAGAATATGAGCATATAATCAATAGTATTGAAAAAGAAAATCTTAACATAGCGGAATATATGTCAAATGAGTTTCAATGACTCGAAGTCCGTGTTTTAAAGACCACAAAAAATCACTATAAAAACAATGCTAGCTTAAATTTTCAAATAGGAAAATACACGAGCGAGTCTCAGAACACAGCCATTTGTAGTGAAATACATACTTATAATTTTATCTGACACTGTAAGTATAGGTGTTTATTAAACAATGGAGTCAAGTAAAGATTTGTTAGAATCTGTGGACATTCACATTATTTTTGAAGACCTACCCTAGCAATCTCATGTATAGTATTGTGAAGGAAAGCACCTTGACCAAAGGCTCAAGCTACAGATAACCGGATGACCAATCTGTTTAAAATTGGCTAACTTAGATCATGATATGCTTTGAACTCTATCCTAGTTTTAGTGCCTGACACGTACGCACCAAAATCTCTTTTTCCTTGTGATATTCTGTGGTTTCTGAAAAGACGATTGCAGCTGTCACCCTTAGCCCCCCTTATTATGCCCTAAGTAACTTTATGTTTTTTTTATATATAAACATTGAAATATGCTTAGTTCTGTAGATTCCTTTTATGGTACAAAGTGCCTTCAAGCATCCTGTTTTTGTCGCGCAAGTCACAAAGCTATGTTATGTTGCTCTCGTATTAAAAAGCAGAAGCTTTCTTTGATACACAAACGCTGGTGCCTGGTGTCTGATTGCTTCCCCGAGCACGCTCGAACTAACAATTCGGTTTCCCCTGAACATATCCTTGGATAACTTTTATCCATAACAGTATACACATACTAAATTTCACGTAATGTCAAAGAATATTTAGTTTATGATGACCTACTTACCTTAGATTCAAGGAGATATATGTTTGCCATTATGGACTCAAGGATTTGTTTTCCCCTTTTTGTGGCATAATTGGAAATGGCTACATTAGCTTTTTTTCACCTTCTTTTGGGTCAACATCATAAAAGAACCTTCAGGGTTGTACTTAATTAACTATAGTCTTTTTTCAACCTAGAAAACTATGTAACTATATAACCTTCCTCTTAGTAATACTGCTGGTTTATACCCCTTGGAGAAATACATTTATCTGCTAGGGCTCAATTCTGTCCATCTACCTCGCTGCAGAGGAACTGTAAATGAGAGCCTCCTTTTCTCTCTATACACTCTACAGTAGGGGCCCTCAAACTCCGGCCCCCCAGATGTTGCTGAACTACAACTCCCATGATTCTCTGGCTATCTATGTAATTCAAAGAGTCATGGAAGTTGTAGTTCAGCAACATCTGGGGGGCCAGAGTTTGAGGACCCCTGCTCTACAGTAACGTAGGCAAAGTCAGTGGCTTTCAGATTGGAATGAGGGCTCAGAGCACAATGAAACCACTACAAAAATGTTGTGAAGGTTGCAATAACAAATAGCATGACTTGCTATGCTTTTTTCTATACGAACTACCAAGTGGAGGAGAACACCGGAACTTAATATTGTGAGCGCAGTGCAGAGACACCTTGGTACTGTGCAATACAAACGGTGATCGTGTCACGTATTCATCCACTTATAAAAATGTGATTAATGGAATTTACTGTTCAGACAGGAAAAGTTGTGCCGAACAACATACTGTCCTGACAGGAAAAGTTGTGCCGAGCAGCAATAAAATCCACAGCAGGGTTTGTGCTGAGCAGCAATTATGCAAATGGGAACCTGGTAACTGCCTTTGGGGTCAAAGGCCGATTACACCCTATCAGATCCAGAGGAGGGGTATTTAGGCCCAGTTCTCATCCTGCTCAGTGCCCTGTCGTGGTTTCCCTTGTGGTTGTCCGAGAGCGCTTTATTGATTCTGGTTATTCTGGTTATTTGACTTTGGCATTGGTTTTGACTTCCCTGTTTTCTGGCATCCCTGACTCCTGGCTTTTCCTTATCGTTGTGTCTCTTTCTGTTGCCCTTGACCTCGGCTATTCCTCACTATTCTTTGGTACATTAGTCCGGCGATTCTAAGGTCCGGTATACGTTACCTATCAGTCCTCTGTGTTACACAATTCTACGTGCTGGATCATACTGTAATCCTGACAGATCGTGGTTGAGAGAAAATTTACCTGTGTGAGATCCCACTTGCTGCTGTCAAAGCCTTTTTAATTTTATGTATGTGCATTTCTTAAAATAAACTTTTATATTATTATATTTTTGAGACATCAATGTGGACTAACCAAAGGGCAAGCTACTGAGTTTTTTCTAAGCTTCTTGCTGTTTTATTGCATTTGCTTGGGCTCTCCCTAAGCTAAAAGGTAATCCAGACGTGGACCCTCGTGCTCCCTGTGCCTAGAGGGGTATCAACTGCATAATCATCAGGGGTTGCTGTAGAGAGAACCGTGCTGTGAGAGAACTTGTGGGCATTTTGGTTCTTGACTGCCCATGGGTGGGATTAGTTTGATGGTATATGTTCTCTTTGTAATGGCACAAGTGAGCAAAAAAATGTTTTGAGATCTGAGTGGGGACTAATTAAAGGGAAAGTTACTGAGTTTCTCTAAGCTTTTGCCTGTTCTCATGAGTTCTAATATTCACTGTTTTTATATTATTATGTGTCATTTATTTTTTACAGAGGAAAATCCACTATACAGTGATTTACACATAACATGTCTTATATGTCTATTTTATTGCATGTTGTTTTAGTACTCAATAGAACTTTTTTGCATGTCTTAAAGACTCTTTTATATTACCTTTAATACTTTTATTATTACTTTTTTATTGATACTGTGCATCATTTGAGATGTCAAAGACTAGTTGTAGCAGAGATCTGTACTCATCCTGTGTATCTCTGTTATTTCCCTCCTTCTAATCACAGGGTACCACAATTGTGAAAATAGCCCTATCCCGAACACTAGCCGGAAATGAGTGTAAGTAAAACAACTACTACCTTTATTAGCACAAAACACAGGTATTTATACAGAGGACAACAGCAAGGGGTCATCAACAGAACAATGAAAGAGTCCCTCCCTGGTGCCACCAAGTCTGAGTTATTAAAAACACTGAGTCATAATTAAGTAACATTGGGATTTTATTCTGACCACCTTTGCCTGGTGCCACTGTGCAAATTAACCCTTTCAGTGCTGCAGTGCAGATTAGACCAATTTTGTTTATATGCTAAAGCACTCTGTAGAAACGGCACTGACCAAAGTATCCAATGAGCTACTCGCTGCAAAGTCTCGTGATCACTACTCTATCCTAATTCTCCTTGACCTTTCTGTGGCTTTTGACACTGTTGATAATTGGTCTACAATATATAGCTCTCTTCTGGTGCTCCTCCTACCTCTCCCAGCACCCTTTAAGTGTTTCTTTCTCTGGCTCTGCTTCTTCTCCCCAACTCCTCTCTATTGGTGTCCCCGAAGGTTCAGTCCTTGGTCCCCAACTGTTCTCCATCTATACTGCCTCGCTTGGTAAACCCATTAGACCCTTTGGCTTCCAATAACATTTCTATGCGGATGACACGCAAATCTATCTCTCCTCTCCTGATCTCTCACTGTCTTGACTAGTGTCTCTGACTGCCTCTCTGCTATTTCTAACTGGATGGCTGCCCACTTCCTTAAACTCAACTTGACCAAAACTGAAATTGTGGTCTTTCCTCCCTCAAGTGTTGCTACACCTGTGTCTGTCTCCCTCCAAGTCAAAGGTGCTAAGATCAGCTCCACCATGCAGGCTCATTACCTAGGTGTCCTCTTTGACTCCAACCTCTCTTTCGCACCTCATGTTCAGTCTATTGCCAAATCCTGCCGCTTCCATCAAAAAAACATTGAGCGCATCCAAACCTTCTTAAAGCCAGATGCGACTAAGGTGCTGGTCCATTCCACTGTCCTTTCTCACCTTGACTACTGTAATCCACTTCTCAGTGGTCTTACGTGCTCCCAACTTGCACCGTTACAGTCCATAATGAATGAGGTTCATCTTCCTGTCCACCCACGCCTCACCCTTCTGTCAATCCCTACATTGGCTTCCTGTAAGATATAGGTCTCAATTTAAAATTCTGGTTCTTGCTTTTAAATCTCTACATAATGCTGCTCCCACCTATCTATCCTCCCTAATAGACAAGTATGTCCCGTCTAG